ACAGGTCACAGTAGATAAATGGGTTTACGACACAGGATAGGAAGATTATGACGAGGTTGTAGGTCCTGTGGATGGAGGTCATGTCTACTTCACCCCCGTAGTGGAGACCGAATGTCAGGTAGAAAGGGATCCAACAGAGCAGGTTAAATCCAACCATTATTGACATGTTGGTTTGGGTTTTCTCTGTTTTTTTGGAAACACTGCTGGGAACATCCCCAGATTGGCGCTGATAACGTCTTATTATAACTACTGTGCAGCATATCGCCGATATCAATAAACAACCACAGTTGCTAGCCATGAGCACGATGAAATACCACCTTTGTGCCTGTTCTAATCTGATGTAATCAAGGGTACAGAACTGATTAGTTCCGTACAAGGTTTGCTTAAACGTGACGATAGGCCCGTCTTCATGAGTAAACATGTCACTTATCATCTTTCTTATAGCTGACCACGTGATATGACCACGAGCTACTTTACTAATCCTACCGTAATACCCTTCAATGACATCCACCTGCGTGTCCTTGTCTACATAACCAATGAAGAGTTTAACCTGTCCTCTGTAGAAGACATACGAGAGGAACCAATCCTCTGGGTAATTGAGGGCTACTGGAACTGTCAGAACAGCTACAAGACACAGTATAATGAGGACCATGGGGATTATTAGCAGAACTGAGCAACAGCTTACTCTTTTAGTCAGTCTGCTTGGATAGCCTGATGTGAAGAGTTTGATGATGCTAATGGCTGTCGTGCATACTATTGACAGCTGTGTCCCTACGGCGGTCCCTAGTCCCAGGCCAGTGCAATAGAAACTAGCCAGCCATTCCGGTTGATAGTCACAGAACATTATCTTGTGCAGTCTGTCAGCTACTCCTATGAGTATTAGATATATGCTGAACAAGAGACTTCCTAAACAGACCAGCCAACCTAACAGTTTAGTAGCTATGGCAACTGACTTGCCAGTGCAGAAGATTGATACCAGTCCGCGTAATAGAACTGTGCCGTTCAGTAAAAACCCGATCAAGCCAGTCACCCAGAACGCTACCCTTAATCTGTCATTCACTAACATCACCTTCATAGTCTTCAGCGGACAATCGTCCGACAGATCATGACAATCCGGGACTCCGTCCTTCACTTGTGTGATGTGGACGTAGTGGTTAGAGTTAACACACTTGAAGCTGTTAGTACAGAGCTCCTCATCCGAACCATCTCCACAATCGTCAAACAGGTTGCAGACCTGGGAGAACTCCACGCACTTCCCGTTGCCGCAGAGGAAGAAGTTGTTCCGGTACAAGCCATCCTTATTCTTGGTGATAAAAGTGGCGTACCTGTCCCCCGCGACGGTTATGGTCCCGTGTGAGAACTGGTTGGAACAACTGTCGTGTCGTATTTTTCTGGTTATGGGACACCGGGAAGCCAGACATAGGTCGGCGCAGCTTTGATAAACATATTCCTGCCCATAGAGAAAGGTACAGTCAATTTTGAATGCTGGAAGCGAGATTTCTGTTGAAATTCCACCATAAACAATGTCATTAAATGGAAAGTAGTGGAAAGTTGCGCATGTCATATTTTGACCAAACGCAACAAGACCCTTAAAATCTATCCCTTTCTGGCAGTGTCCCATATATTTCCACCGCATAAAAAGTTTGTTTCTTTTAGCCACATCAATTGCTGCAAACAGATTCCGATTATCACGAGAGCTATGAAAACACATTTTCCTTCTATACTCACAGTTCCCTGGACCATAACACAAATTCTGTAACCTCACAAAATGCCGGTTATTCAGATCCGGACAAATAAAAACCTTTTCACACGAAGTGTCATTGTAGATGTATCTGAACAGCTCCCCGCTCCCACAATTAGACCACGTCCACACCTCATCCTTACCATTCTCACAGTCCCACAGTCCGTCTTTCAGCCAGGATACTGGTATGTGCTGGTGTCCAGCCTCGTGAGCAAACCTCCGGACACAGGTCTCTTTTGTCAGGTAGGTACACAAGGGCATCCTCTCATCCTGACCGTTGTAGCAGTCGTCCCGCTCGTTGCACAGGTTGTGTTTGTGGAGATAGCAGTTCGGGTAGATATCCAGGCATTGCGTGTCCACTGGGTCGTTAGCATCACAAAATTCAAGAGGAAGAGTTTTCCGGCAAACCACAGTCTTGGCAACGGAAGATGGGTACCCGCTGATATTACATCTCAACCCGATCTTCCCCGGAAAGGAACAGTTAGTCTGGTCAATGTAGTTCATACACCAGGGTTCAGGGTTAACAGGATTAGTAAACACCCTACACCTTGTATAATTACTCAGGGTCACCCACCTGTACACTTTATCTTTACCCAGCACCACGCACGGGTTGGTGGTTGCGTTAGTGACGTTCAGACTACAGTACTTGGTCTCATCTGAACTGTCCATACAGTGGGACACTCCGTCACATATCCTGTGTGGGGGTACGTACATGGAGGCAGTGTCTCCTTGGGGGATCCTGCTCTTACATCGCATGCCATAGAAAAAGTCGTTGTAGCTGCAGAGGGACTCGTCTTCGCAGGTGAGCAGCCGTGCAGCCTAACCGTGGTTACTTGTTTAATTGGTTTAACTGGTTGTTCGTTAATTAAACTTATTAGTAATTGTGTATGATTATGGGATTACTTTTACAATCAACAATTTAAGCTTCTGCGCTTGCTTCTTTAATCTTTATCCTCATGATCGATACAATAAAAGAATTACTGATCAGCTGGTGACATACCAATGTTTCACGTAAGAGGGGTCTATCACACTCATCATCGCACATGTCCGTCTTCCAGTAGTGGATTTGAAACTGGCGGGAAGCTACCACTATATCCTCCTTATTAAAATCAATAATTCTGGAGCAGTTCCTCTCGTCCTTATTTGTGTTATCACAGCTCCTCCCTCTGTCACAAAACTGCAATGTCAGCTTGTTATTAAAACTGTAATGTCAGCTTGTTATTGGTTATATTGTGCAAAGGAAACTTTAAAAAGGGCCGATTGATTGTTGAAGTAAACCGAAATATTTTAGAAAGTTAGCCGTGGCCAAAAGGACTGATGTCCTTTTTAAGAAACATCCCTGGTAACTTAGCTACCACCCTAGTAACACCCGGCCCTGGTAAACTAGAAACCTGGTCTCTCTTAAGAATAAGACCGCTGTGCTGACTCAAGTCTGCTGTATCGTTTACACACACAAAATGCCCACAGATAGTTTCCCACAGCTCGCCCATCTCTAACATTCCACAGGCCTGGTAGTAGTTCTTATCCTCTGAACACATCTGCGAAGTGGGGGTTTTAGCTTTTGTGAGATAATGATTTTATTGAGGTTAGAAAATTTTATAAAAACCGAACATACCCAAATTTATCCCTGCAGGAACTCTATCATAACCTTACATGCTAATACCCATGCTAAATTTGAATCTACTAATCATATCACATCTGGAGAGTTCCCTTTTATTAATTTTATTATTTATTTATTTCTCTGTCTGAAGCCGTCTTACCAGGGAGTAAGTTTGAGTCCTGTAATTAATAGTATAATACTCATCACTGTTGTAGCACTTGTACACGGTCTCTCTTGTTCTCTTGTCTATACACGCTTCCCTTAGGTAACCCCTAACTACTGTCATCTTGCAGAGTACCGGAACTGAAGTTGTTCAAATGTTAGTTGATACTGCACTACTATATTGCAGGATGTTGGCTCTAAGGTTTTTTGCAAGTCGACTAGCTGAGTAACTTATTTTAGGCGACTGTCTTACTAGTCTTAAAATATTTTCGTGTGGGATTGACTTAACTTAACGGGTAATATTATTACAATTTACAAGCGATCAAAACACATTAAACCCCTTTAACCCGACTGTAATATACTTGTAGATTGTTCTGGGTTCATGAGACGTGTGCATGGTTAATCTCGTTAAAATTAGAGACAATCACCTATTGGGAAGGCTGGTGTAATAGGCGCTACTGTGGTCATATTGGAAGGAAGAAGAGTCACATTTTGTCCCACCACAGTTGTGGTATTTGTGAGAATAGTTACATCTTGTCCCACCACTGCTCTGTTATTGACTGTGAGAAGAGTCACATTTTGTACCATCACAGTTGTGGTATTTGTGAGAATAGTTACATCTTGTCCCACCACTGTTCTGTTATTGACTGTGAGAAGAGTCACATTTTGTACCATCACAGTTGTGGTATTGACTGTGAAAATACTCTTATTTTGTCCTACCACAGTTGTCAAAATTAGGAAGAAAACCACTATCAGTATCATCACATACGAAAAATAGAAGCACAAACAGAGCGACAAACAAGATCGAGAAATTCGGCAACTGACTGAGACTCACCCACAAATTGTAAGCGCTAACAAAAGAAACCATTAAAATGACACTTAAAATGCAGCAGTAACAGTAACTATTTATAGTGTCACCCTTATCTCAAGGAATAGAGTTGTAAGATCACAGTTTTTTGTCAAAGCAGTCATCTGAATCTTGAACAACAGATCGAGGGACGCCTGTCATCAACGAACAGTATTCTTTACGTACGAACTCACATGTTACAATAGAGCTTGTCGAAATTACAAGCTCTGCACCATCAAGCTTAGCAATTCAGAAGTCGCTATTATCCCTTAACTAGTAGTTACCCGTAACGTTTTTTTGAATGAAGTTTAGACAAATGCATAAAAATTTATTAAAAAAGTACATGCTTACAAGACTTTTAAAACACCCTGTACCGTGTACCTAACTTACTATCACCAGTAACCAGTAACCAGTAACCAGTAACCAGTAACCAGTAACCAGTCACTGTGACTGTCTCACAGCACAGAGAGTTAAGATTCTGAATTATAACTATTTCCTTAAGTTAAGTTCCAACCCGCTACTGGCACTTATTAGCCACTGTGAATGTCACTGTCTTACTGCAGAGACTTCAGTTTCTGAATTGTGACTAATTATGACTAATTATGACTAATTATGACTAATTATGACTAACTATGACTATCCCCTGACAGGTAACGTTCTGTGATGTGGGGTGTGGTTACGGGGGTCTACTAGTCACGTTATCCTCCATGTTCCCTGACAAGTACATGGTTGGCTTTGAGATACGGGTTAAAGTATCAGACTACGTGAATGACAGGTTAGTTACACTGGTTTGTGTTAGATTTGTTAGTAGTAACCATGGTTACATTACCATATTATTTGGTAAGTAGTGTTATGATTGAAATTCAACTAATCGTTTTAGTACTGCGTCTTTGGGGAAATCTAAAAATTAGATTTGCTAATTACATTTAAATGGTCGAAGCTGAAGAGCATTAATGTGATAGGAATTTTCTTAACCTACTATTAGTTAACAATAATATCGAAAACAAAAAGCAGAAGATATTCACAAAATCCCTTTAACTCTTTCAATTCCAGGTTTTTAGCCCTGCGCCAAGAAGATGAAGTTTACCATAACGCCGGAGTCATCAGGACAAATGCCATGAAATACCTTCCTAACTTTTTTAGAAAAGGTAAAGAATTTAGTTACAACTAACAGTATTTATTGGAATATTGCCAGTTTTTACCAGTAAATTTTGTAAATTGCAGTTATTGGACAAAAGGTCTCATGTTACAAGTAAACAATGAGAGCAGAATTGGCAAATTGACAACTATGTCAATCATGATATTCTATCTAATCTGTGACTAATGTACTATCAATAATTTTTTTTCTTAAAGAATTGAAGTGCCTTTGGTTTGCTTGATATGAACGCTGCTGCCGTACATATTCGTATGATTCAAATCCAGTTGAAGTATTGCTATCCTGTAATTAATATCCTGTATTGCTATCCTGTACAACTCATATTTAACTATGGTGATATTTTAAATTAAACCACTCAACTCTTAACTGTAACACTCAACTGTAACACTTAACTGTAACACTCAACTGTAACACTCAACTGTAACACTCTTGAACTGTAACACTAACTGTAACACCAGGTCAGCTTGAGAAGATGTTTATCCTTTATCCAGACCCGCACTTCAAGAAATGTAAACACAAATGGAGGATTGTATCAGAGGGGTTGTTAGCAGAGTACGCGTACGTGCTACAAGTGGGGGGCCTGGCCTACACTGTGTCTGATGTTAAAGAGGTTAGAATTGTTACTAGTAACCATGGTTACATCACCATATTAGGTAGCGTAGGTTACATGACCATATTATGATGTAAATTAGGGTCACCATCACTCAATGATGACAGCATCGTTACTATGATTATCACCACACCAACTCCCCCAGGTTCACGACTGGATGGTGGAGCACTTCACCGCCTTCCCCCTATTTGAGAGGTACGATCCTCCGCAGGATGATAAAGCTGCACAGATCCTGATCGGGAGCACAGAGGAAGGAAAGAAAGTGCTCCGGAATAACGGACAGAGCTGGACTGCTATATTCAGGAGGGTTGACGATCCGCATTTAGTGAACTGTGGCGAAAGTTAGGTTTATTATAAGGGGATGTGCTGCGGTATTTTAAACTCTTTAGTAGATTTACAGCGATATTTTAACCTTGTTTTAATAGACATAATTATGTTTTTTGGGGGATTTCGGGTTGGGAGACCGGAGGTATCGTGATTACGATACTCAGGCGACTACATGTAATTGGTCTGTTCTTACGTTTCTTGACGATTTGGATAAAATTGTGGTTTTATTGATGTGTGGGTCATTGAAAAATGAAAGCTGATTTCAGTCCTGGATGTTTACTTTTCAGTCATATCGCTTTAGAGCTGAATATGATATTCAATACTGTACTGACCAATAATATGATTTCGCATTTCTTAGTCCATTATGATGTGCCCGAGATGTGCCCGAGTTTGAGCCCGAGGTGTGCCCGAGGTGTGCCCCAGATGTGCATCGGCAGATTACCGAGTTACCTGATCTAGGCATAATGTTATCAAAAAATATATGACTCATTTGTAAAACAAATTGATGTGATGGTCGACTCCATTTTGTCAGAAAAATGCACTTTTACTAGATGTAAGACCATTGTTATGTTGGTGTTATAAAGTTCTATACTTGGGGTGGTTTAATTAACCTATTATGAGTTTTATTGTTAAGTTATTATTTATCTGCAGATGTTTTATTATGTCTATAACATTCTCTTTTATAGTATAAATGCCTCAAAAGTCTGAAATTTTTATGTCATTGTATTATTTTATATTAAACAAAAGCCTACTATAATTCAATTAAGTTCTTCCGCTTCATGATTGTATTGTTTCCAAATATTCGGCGTTCATTGCACATATCTTCACGTTTGCAATACTAGCTCCCACATACCGAGTCTAACACCACAAATCCACAGATATGATATGTACAAGATGCAGAACAGTGCTCCTCTCGAATCTCCGCACCATCAGAAACCAGGGCAATAGTTACCATAACAACAGACTCTGGAGCCCACATTCCAGGTTAAAATTCCGGCTTCATTCCACACTGCCAGTGAAGAGTAAGCCGGTATTTCAAAGACCAGAGGTGAAGAGAGAATGGAGAATACATCCAATGATGAGCATACCTGTCGTCTGCTTATTCTTAGGTTCGTTGTTAGTTGTTTTTCTTCGTATTGTAGTAACCACGTTAGGAAGTTAGTAACCAACCTGATAAGCAATATCATGTACATTGCGCTCGCGACATATTTACTGTGTAACTCTGCATTCGTTATGTCGCTTAAAACGTCATAAGTTTTCGCATTTTGCCTCGATGTACCGTACATACAATGATTCGAATTCCTGTCCGCCACCACTGTCGTCTACAAATTCTTAAGTTTGAGTCAGTTTGTTGTTAAAAACACTTTCATCAATAACTCTAATTCTTATGCTTGTCAGTTTGTTGTTTAAAACACGTTGTAATTGACAGGCTACCATGAAACTTCAAACCCCTAAATAAAAAATGTGTGGGGATTACACAGCACCTGCCAGTGGCGGCCATAGTTTTCACCAGAGACGAACATTAAATATATCACAAGGAGTTGGGATCGTGCCAACTTCCAATCAGCCAAATATTCTCCCTAGGAAAAGCAGGAAAGCTTGGCACGGCTTCGGACCACTGACTCCAATATAATAGCCAAAACTCAGTACCCAGCGTAAATCAATAACCTCATAAATCAATAGGCACACCCTCGAGCTGTTATCCTGATTATTGATTGTCATTTAACCCTTTCTCACCCTGCATTAAGTCAGTAAATCTGCCAGAAATGTTGGTCACCCTGGAAATATTTCCCCTCCCGAACAAATTCTGACATTTACCACGTCAATTGTTCAGCGCCCGTCGATACAAGATACTTTGACACAATCCATATTATCTTCCTTTTTTTCTTTCTTATATATTTTCCCTCAATAGAGGCGGAATGACCCACCCTGATATCTTCACCCTAATAATCAGTACTGGAAAATAGTTTCAGACCACGTGTCCCCAACCCCTCAGGAGAGTGGTGGCAAACAGAACAATAGGGTGGTGCCTAACAACCCCCTGTCCTCCACAGGGTGGTGGCAGATAAACCGGCGAAAGGCGAAGCTGCAGCTAATAGCAGACATAGAGTCCCGGTACCTGTTGGAACCAGTTCCTTTTGTGAGTGGAGAGGAGTATCTGGAGTATACCCCCGTTAGATTCACAGGTGAGTAACCTAGTAACCACCCTGGTAACCTATAGTAACCACCCTGGTAACCTATAGTAACGACCCCGTTAGATTCACAGGTGGTGGTTAGGTTGTTATTGCCACGTTTTGTTGGTTTGTTTTGGTAAATTTTCATCGTGTTTCTTATTTTATAACCCAGAACAAGAAAATCCGGACTAGCAACCAACCTTGTAGTTATCAAAGTAAACTAGTAACCGCTCTGGTAATCTAGTCACCACACTGGTAACCTTTAGTAACCACTCTAGTAACCTTTAGTAACCTCTCCCAGGTGAATACGATTACTCTAAAGAGTTCTATCTGGGACCCCGGCACGAGATAGTGGGTCACCGAGACAAAGGAGAGCCTGGTGGGTATCACTCTATAGTACCACTAACTCTAGAGACAGGAGAGAGAATATTAGTGGACAGGGGATTCATCTCTAAACGGACTAAGTCACCAATAGGTCAGTAAATGTGATAGCTTGATAGGTTGTGTTTTGTCCGTTAGGCCAGTCACTGTACTGGGTTGTGATTCGAATTAGTGTCTTTGAAGGAGCTTTTTTCGATACTAATTACCGAAACATCTTTCTTTGAATTATGAGGTTTAATTTAACCCTTTCCCAACCAAACAGGTCAGATAGCAGGCAAAGTAACCCAAGTTGGCTATATCCGTCTCCCTGAGGGAGCAGTGATGCCGGCCCTAGCCCCTGCCTCGGGGTCAACCCAAACCTACATCTGGAGAGACTCCGGGATGATGGCTCAGATTGCAGAGACTCTACCTGTTACTGTGGAGCTGATGTCAGAATATTCTGTAGAGGGCGGTGAGTTTACCAGCATCTAGAAATTATGAGCATTTCTAGAAAGCACCAACCTGAACTCCACGCCTCTGTTATGCGAATGATTATACCTGGATCATAACATTTTTTATTTGAACTACCTACAGTTATACCCCGATTTACCGTGCCCGAAATACCGGAAACCGGATTCACATCTGTTATCTTCTTTTTCGTCAACATTCAACACCCGGTTAATCAGAGTTTTACTCTACCTCCTATTTTCCAGGTCCGTTGGCGGGACAGACTCGGTTATCAGTGTACAACAAGCACCTGGAATATGTGATAACGTGGTGGGGCATGGGTATTGCTTCTCTTTTCTACATTTTCCAGTTTCGGCGGAGACCCAAGGCTATTCCTGGTGTTTTCAAGTGATAAAGGTTTCACAGGTTATATCTAGTCTAATTTTGTCGTTGTTAACGCTGCAACAGTTGGTGTGTATTTTCCCTGTTGAAGGTTTGAACCAAAAGTGAATGACATTAGCATTCCTTCGTAATCATCATCTAATTTCTAATAATAGAATTTCGGTAGTAAGTTTGTCATTCTAGTACTAAGTTTATTTATTAACTTAATTAAGTTACTCATTTTGTTAACGCCGTGACTGATCATTTCCGTGACCTGGTTTCTCAAAATTAATGATCTCCGGTGGCCGGTGTTGTGAAGAACTCCAAACCTGACTAATCATATTATTAGATTTCAAGGTTTGGTAAACAAATCATACTATCCTTCATTTGCCACTGATATATTATATTATAGTGATAATTATGTTGTAAATATGTTAACGTAATATAATACGCATTCCTAATTAACACCGTCTCACCTTTACTTGTTCGATTAATTGATGCCCATTGCCCAACCCTCAATAGTTCAAATACTTTCCCTTACTCCAAATATTCACATGCTCTAGATATTCCTGTACTTTGTTGTACTTTACTGCCCGCTTGTTTTCCACTAAATCGGTGAGATGTAAGAATGTTTGTTGCTTAGCTCGACTAACTTATTACTAACAATCTACCTGAAAAAGCTACCTTATATCCCTGAAATATCCCTGAAAATACCCCAACCCCGACCCCCTAGGCCCCCAATACCTCCGGCTTGTGCAGGATAACGGTGTAGGATAACGGCTCACCTCAGATCCCTACCCTACACTCCCCCTACACAATGACGAAGCCATTGTAATAAACCTAATCCTACCACAACTAGAAGAGTGTATCTAATCTGCAAATCTGTGACGTAACACAGCGGCCCACTCTATTGCCCAGGTGCTGTTTGCAGTAGTAATAGTGTACTCCCCCTCGAGTCACTAACTAACAAGTCGTCACATACTCGCTCTGGTGGTGGCATGACTACCGTGTCTTGTATCAATTAGCTGACATTTGAGCTTCTTCCCGCTGTTTGTGAGAACGCGATTTTGTAGTTGATTGTATTCGCTTTTTGGGGATCTGGGCAGCATGGATTCATGACGTGCTCTTAGTTTTGTAATTTATTCGGGGGGGGGATCATGTTTTTTGTCTGTTTTTGTCCGTTCTGTACCCCATATTTTCAAAACGGACAAAAAATAGAGCGGACAAAAACGGACAAAAAAATAACATGACCCCCCCCCCCCCCCCCCCTTTATTGTCTAGTTTATTCGGTGAAATTTTTACAGTTTGTCTGGTTTATGATTTATCATGATAATGCTACATTTTTTGTATGTGACCCTTTTTAATTTGTCAAAATATAGTATTTGAAGCAAAGCATTTTTAAGTTTTTAGTCCTGCGTTTACTTTATAATATATAATAGCTTATCATTCAGATGACATAGCTTTTTTCCCTATATTTAGAATCCGTATGATCTTACATAACAAGCTTACAATACCTGTGTTACTAATACTTCCTGCATCATTACAAACCTTTTAAAACTTGTAATCAAAACTATTGCTATCTGTAACATTCTAACATACCGCTCCATTTGATAGCCTCATGACCTCCTCCTCCTCCCCCTCCCTCTCGTCCCAGTACCTGATACCCCTTATCTTGCTTGCTCTCTATATCAGGATATGTATCTCGTTTGCACCGCACAGCGGACAAAGCAAACCTCCAATGTTTGGGGACTACGAGGCTCAGCGGCACTGGCAGGTCAGAATCGTTGTACAAATCTAGATACTCTCATCTGCAGTAAATGTAAATTTACTCTGCTCAAAGCACTTGTTTTTTATTTCAGGTTAGAAAAGTTGAAGTTTGATCAGTTTCAAACTCGTATCTTTACTAGCTATTAATTTAATCTGCTCTGAAAATTTGCTTGTCTTGGTTATTTTTTGTTCGCTTTCTGTTTTAATTCCTACCGTCTGACGACCAGTAAAACAGCCTCCCTCATCAGGAAATAACAGTGAACCTGCCAATCACTGACTGGTACAGGAACACAACAGATAACGACCTGTTATACTGGGGACTGGACTACCCGCCCCTCACAGCTCTGCACAGCAAGGTTATGGGTCACGTGGCTGAGACTGTTAGCGGCTCCTGGGTGCAACTCCATGGCTCTAGAGGAGAAGAGGTAATATTACAGGGGGCCCGGAAGTAACTGCCCACACGCAACCTTTTAATAACTCACGTGATTCATGTCAGAATCGCACAGGAATTTTAGAGATAATAGATATGGGTTAAAGTTTAAACTGAGATTTACCAAAGGTTCCGTAAAATTTCGTTAATTACAGTTGGTTTGGGCATGCCACTCCCATTTCCCAAAATTTCAAGTTGGTTGTTTAAAATGTATTTATTAAGACAGGTTGGATTTGTTTAGATTCTTGTGTAATATATGATTATTCACAAGTGGAGTACAAAACACATAAGTAATATGTTACAGTATTACTCACTGCATATTATTCCAGAGTTACGAGCACAAGATATTCATGAGAGTAACAGTACTGGTATCTGAACTGGTGCACCTGACTCCCCTCTTCCTCCTCCTCTCCCCCTCCACATGTCCCCTCTCTTCTCTCTTCCTCCTCGCTATCACTCCCTCTCAACCCCTCATTGATCATGGTCACTTCCAATACAACTCTATCTCACTAGGTATCGTGCTTTAAGTTTTGCAAAAATAGAAAATAGAAATGATTTCATAAATTAAGTCAAGCTCAATGACATGATTAATCGAGTTTTGAGTTTTAACTGTAAATATTACGTCAAAGCGAGATTTTTAGCTCTAGATCCAACATAAGAGCGTTAATTTTAACTCCAAATCCTACGTATAAGAGCTTGAATTTCAGCTCTACATAATTCGTCACACAGTTTTTAAACTTACCTCCTACGTCAGGTCTGACGCTACTAGCGGTTCTAGCCCTAAAACACGGCTGGGTATGTACCGGTAGTGCCATGTTCTCCCTCGCTCTCAACTACAAGCAGATGTCACTCTACCACGCCCTCCCCTTCTTCTTCTTCATCTTGGGTCCACGGTACAACAGCTGGTCTGGTGTCAGGGAGTTGGTAAAAGTGGGGGTAACTGTGGTTTTAACATTCGCCCTCTGCTGGCTTCCTTTTGTGGACACTGCCGGGGATGTGCTAACTAGGATGTTCCCTTTTAACCGGGGTTTGTTCGAGGATAAAGTGGCTAACTTTTGGTGTAGCATATCTGTTGTCGTCAAAGTTCGTGAGATCTTCTCAAGGATCACCCTCGTCAGAGCAGCTCTGTTCTTCACTCTTGTCTCTGTTCTTCCTTCCCAACTCCTCCTCTTCAGGGAATCAACTCCTCACAAGTTTATACTGGCTCTCACTAACTCAGCGCTAGGTTTCTTTCTCTTCTCATTCCATGTCCACGAGAAAACCATCCTCATACCTCTCGCAACTATAGTATTACTGTACAACGACAAACGTACAAACGGACAAACAAACGGACAAAACAACGAACTGACAGTTAGTTTACCTGTGGTTTGGTTCACCGTCATTGCTACGTTCTCAATGTGGCCTCTTCTCCTGAAAGATGGTCTATACATGATGTACATTGCTGGAATGGGACTGTACCTCACTACCGTTTATATCCTTTTCAAGCAACAACTGTACAGTACATCTGTTCTGTTATTTATGTTATCCGTCTTGGGTTGTGTTATTTTACATTTATTGGAAATTTATGTTGAGCCGACGGAAAGATATCCGCATATTTACCCTACACTTAATTCTCTTTATTCTGCTGGACATTTTGCGCTGTTCTTTTGCTATTTTAATTATCGTCAAATTGTCGACTGATTTGTTGATATTTTATTGATTTCTTTGTGGTGTTAATTTATTGATATAAACTAATAAAGCTCAGGATTTAATTCAGCATGACTAAAATAAAGTTGTTAATTAAATGGTATTAATTTTATTAAATTTCAGAAGTCAAGCTTTTTAATTTAGAATTTAAATTTTTGGGTTTAGAGTATGTCGCATCATTTTGTTGTAATTCTATAATAATAAATCTTTTTCGCAGTTAAGTGCTACTGCACTGCTAGATAATCATCATCACGGCGTATTTGTGTGGACATTGTTGTTACGAAGCCATGCATATGTGCATTGTTCAAATCAATTATGCTCAGAACTCTTGTCGACTAATCTTCACAGTACTTTGTTATAACATGATCCCCCGAAGTTGAGAAGAAGAAATTATACTGTAGAACTTTCCAGAAGTCCAGACTATTCTTACTGACCTGTGTTTGATATGTGTCTGTTATACTGTTCATGCGGCTGTCTCTGTGCCATTTTGCAGTTTTTGAAATACTCAAATTTTGTATTATAATATAATGCAGATTGTGGAATATCTTAGTGACCACCCTAGGAGTACCTAACCCAGCCACCCCACTCCCCAGGAGTAACTCCCTAATATCATGCCATAGTAACCTAGTAACCACTCTAATAACTTTGTAAACACCCTAGTAACCACCCTAGTAACCTAGTAACTAACCCTGCCGCCCCAGGAGTAGCCCCCTGATATCATGTCATAGTAACCTAGTAACCACTCTAATAACTTTGTAAACACCCTAGTAACAACCCTAGTAACCTAGTAACTAACCCTGCCGCCCCAGGAGTAGCTCCCTGATATCATGTCATGGCCTGAAGATGTAGGAATACTCGCTCTAGAGGTTTACATCCCAAAAACTTACGTCGCTCATGATGAGCTGGAGGTGTTCGACGGGGCCAGCACAGGTTAGAAATGTACTTACATAAATATACAGATGTTCAAAACCATACTAATGCTCCGTAAACATCCTGTATTTATATTTCTTTTTGCTTGATTTTGATTTTGTTTTATTATATGTTATCTATATGCTATATCCTTCTTAATAAGGTTTGAGTTCATATAAAGCAGATCCTATCCATTTCTGAATCAGATAAAGTTAACTAACCTTAACTCCATTCAGGAAAGTACACGATAGGTTTAGGACAGCGGGGTATGGGGTTCTGTTCAGATGTTGAGGATATCTGCTCCCTGAGTCTGACGGCAGTACACGGACTCATGGAGAGACAGAACATCAGCTACTCCGATATTGGTCATCTCCAGGTACCAGCTTAGTAACTTAGTGACCATTTTAGTAACCTAGTAACTTGCATAGTAACCAGCCTAGAAACTACCCTAGTAACCTACTTACCAGCCTTGTTACTTAGAGACTGAACATCTGCTACTCCGACATTGGCCATATCTATTCTCCACATACCAGCCAAACTGAAAATCGTTTATTATCACTCCAGACATAAATATTATAAACTGAAATCACGCAATTTTAGGTGTTTTGATCTTTTTACCACCGTTACACGTTTTTCCCGGTATTTTTATGTGCCAAAAGGTATATTATGTAATTTAAAAGAAGGCTCCCAGTACAGCTACACGATTATTTTATATGTTATTGTATTGTTCTACAATCTACAGATTGTAGAACACTATAATTACACATAATCTACAGATTGTAGGCTTTAATCTTGTAATAGAGTAATAGTCATACGCTAACCTAATCAAAACATAAATCAATATATTATCATTATACTGGGTAAACTGTATACAGATCTCATAAACATCTGGGTATCAACATGTTTTAAGATGGAGGTCAACCGACCACTTTTACAGGTAGGAACAGAGACGATACAAGACAAATCAAAAGCAGTAAAAACAGTACTGATGGACCTGTTCGTGAAGCACGGTAACACGGATATAGAGGGGGTGGATTGTATTAACGCATGTTACGGCGGGACTGCTGCTCTCTTTAATGCTATTAATTGGATCGAGAGTAGTTCTTGGGACGGTACGTGTAATTCTTGCTTGATTTTTTTGAACAGTTAAACCCCAATTTAGATCGTCCGTTCTGTTCCCTCGAACTCCGCGGTGAATCAGGGTTTTACTGGACATTACGAATAAGTTATAGTTTTAGTCGCTCTCTCATCTCCTAATTTCCCGCCCGATCTTCACTTAAACTCACCACTAAACTACAGGAAGGTACGCAATAGTAGTAGCAGCTGACATAGCAGTCTACGCTAGCGGACCTGCCCGACCTACGGGCGGAGCTGGAGCTGTCGCCATGCTTATCGGGGCTAATGCCGTCCTTTCCATCGACAGAGGTATGTTCCCTCAGATTACACTTCCAGGGGGGAGGGGAGCTCATGCAGGCTCACCAAGGGATTGAATTTGAAGTAAACTTACTTTAAGATTGTTGGCGGTGGTTTTCGAGTTACAGCTTAGTCTTATTGAATCTGCACATTGCATCGTGACATTAACTAACATCATCACTCAGAGATTGTGACTGAATGTTTTTTCGTAAGGGTCAGAAATAGATTTTAGATATTTTATATCAGCTGCGTACAAATACCATAAATAGTATAGTTGAACTGATAACAGTATCAAATTTCCGCCCATTTTTTGTTTTTGGGGGACTAAAATTTGTTCTGAGTAGAAGTTAATATTTTCACAGAAAGAACTTTTAACAGTCTGGTAGTCACTGTGCATTTACCTCTGGTATATTGTGGGTTTAATCACGTCTTACCCTTTGATAAGTTATTTTTTGCATAATCGTATCTAACTTTACTCTTCCCAAAATATTTTTCTCGCAAGTATGCACTCCACCTACTTTAAAGGAGAGTCTGCTGCCGATTGAGAAAAATTCCTGCTACCCATCCATTTAGATTTTAGTAATCTAGTTACATAGTAATTACTTTCGTTACATATGCATAGTAACCACTTTTGTTGCATAGTAACCAATTTAGTATCCTAGGAACCACTTTAGTAACTCAGTAACCCTAAGTTACATAGTAACCTATTAACCAATAACCACTTTAGTAACCTAGTAACCACTTTAGTAACGCAGTAACCACTTAAGTCTGTCCCCATGGAAACAACAATCTGCTACCCACCCTTCGGCAACTCTTCAAAATACTACAATCTCTTCACTTCAACATTCAGTGTGATAGCTCCAGTTAACATCTGTCTGAGCCTCCTAATCCTCCTCTGGAACAGTGTCGTCATATCCTACTTCTACAAGAACTACCAGAGAAGGGTAACCCCTGCACTCTTCCTCCTCATCGGAATAGCTGACGTCACAACCGCTGTAGGACACGTGGTGTTTGACACGGCGGCTATCATCTTCATGGCTAGAGGAGAGGGCGAGACCACAGACACCATCATGACGTTTTGTTTTGTGTTGTACAGGTTCCTGGCCCTGATGGGCTACTCTTCCTCAATCCTCCTCAACGCCATGTTAGCAGTCATGAGAACTGTTAAGATAGTTGCTCCGTTCAGGCTGACTAATGTGGTGGCTGTTAAGGTGTTTGGTGTGATGTGGGGGTTGTTTCTCCTTGCTGTCACTCTGTGTGACTGTGTTATTACCGCCAAGGTTGGCTGGGGTATCATTCAGATGATGAGGTTCTGTGAGAATAATGACGCCATGTTTGCGGCCATTAACTTCCCCGGGCAAACCATCGCTTGGATAACTGAATCTGGGTTACCCCGGAAATCTGCGGAGGTCTTCTTCCTCTCCATCTTCTACATCATCCCAGTTGTGGTTGTGTTCGGCAGTATGGTGGTACAAGTTCTGAAGACAACACGTGTCTACTGGTCTGGTATCGAGGATGAGGATAGACCTCTGATAACTGACTGGGCCTATGTTAACACTACTGTGTGCCTCTTAGCTGCTGTTTTCTTGTTTTGTAACAGTGCGACCTCTTTTTATGCCATATATGTGTCCGGACCGTATTTTAGTCACCATTTTCATGGTCACCACGTTGTTTTGGCAGTGTTTTCTTCTACTCTGCCTCTTTTTAATGCTCTACTTTCTCCCTTTATTATTGTAACTAGGAGCAGTAATTTGAGAGTTCATTTCTTGCGACGGGTGACGACCTTTCGTCGTTGTGGTCGGAAGAAGGAACAAAAAAGGTTCCAGGGCCCGACTGCTGTGGAGTGTAGATTTTGTAAACGGAAATACTGTCGAGATCATTCTGATAATATTATACAATAAACTTGAGTTGGGATGGAGTGTCTACAACAAGAAATGTAGAAATTGATTTTAATTTGTGTCCGTGTTATATAAAATATTGTTTCCAAAACTGAATAAAAGTTCTTAGTCTTGTAAAACCTTTTTACGCCTTTTACGGTTACCGACGGTCATCGACTCAGCTTGCTATAAAATTTGTCCGTCTTATCACCACACATCAATAACCCAAAGTTTTCTAATCTGACTTCTTTAGTTTTGTAGTTAGTTCTAACCTCCTTCCTCTATTCTCCCAGGTCTAAGATCCACGTACATGGCGCACGTGTACGATTTCTACAAACCGGACCTGAACTCCGAGTACCCACGTGTAAATGGGAAACTTTCCATTCAGTGCTTCCTCAAGGCTCTGGACGTTACTTATAAGGGGTACAAAGATAAGGCAGCCATGAAGGATAACCAGGATGTGGACCTGTCTTATTTTGATTTTATGGTTCGTTCATTCTGTATCTCTGTTATATTTCGTGACTTTTCTCTCACAAATAGTAAATACACTGTGTGCTACTGTGCTATTACGATTGAGATGCAAGTTTGATAGTAAGTTGTTCTCATGATATGATGAATTCTTTCAGACATTCCATTCACCGTACTGCAAACTGGTTCAGAAATCCTTTGCTCGGTTATGTTATCAAGATTACCTTGCAGACAGTACTGTTACCGACAAACTGGAACAATTCAGGTTTTTTTTCGAGTTATAATGATACTTTTATATTTAGCATTTTCTATTTAGCTGTTGTATTTTGCCCATATTTGGTTCACTTTTGACTCAAATCATGCCAAATCTCCTAAACACAACTTTTTAAGCGTGACTCTCTCCCTCAGACACGTAGCAGTTGAAGACACCTACATAAACAGAGACTTAGAGCGAGCCTTTATCTCCCACAGTCAAGAAGAGTTCGACAGGAAGACGGCTCCTTCACTCCTCATTCCTAAAAACGTGGGCAACATGTACACTGCAACCCTCTACTCTTGCATCGCTTCTCTTTTCGTCAAGTAAGTTCTAAAATGGTTCGGGTTTTATGAAAGGTGTAGATACTATCACTGATATTTTATAGGCGGAGTCTGTCTGAGGAGTTACCGTCTCCATTCTGCAATGTTCACGTTCTTTGCTATTACTAGTCCGTATAAAAAGAAATGATAATCCAAATTTCAATACGATCAGCTTTTGTAGATTCTGTTTATAACCTATTTGATCTGTATATTATTATAATCTTTTAGTTTTACAACATGTTAATTGTTACAATTTCAGTAACTCTCCAGAAGAAATGCTGGGTAAGAGGATAGGAGCATTTTCGTACGGATCTGGACTTGCTGCCAGCATGTTCTCCTTTACCGTTACTTCAGACTTGGACAAGCTTAGACCCTTCTGCAATGATCTTAGTCATCTTTCTCATCATCTCAATAATAGAATAAAGGTAATGATCTTAGTCACCTATCTTATTATTTGAATAAATGAATCAAGGTCAGTCACGCTAAAACACGATAACAAAACATTTGCATGGTTTTGATGTCCAATGGCCATGAAACCGTTACCAGGTTGAGGTACGGGGAGTAATCGTACTTGCGATCGTACTATCTTCAGCCGCAGCGAAAGCCAAAAACACTGTCCCTTTTTCCTTGCCTCCAGTGCAATTTTTTTCGTTCTTTGTGTCTTCTGCTGCTCCTTCACCCTACGCAACACTTTCAGGTAGCACCAGAGGACTTTGAGAAGATGATGAAGAAAAGAGAACAGAACCACTACCTTCCTAACAGGACGCCATCCTACCCTGCTAACAGACTCAGCCAGGGAACTTATCACATAGTACAGGTTAGATTTTGCCACAATTGACATATGCAGTGTGTTCTTTTATTTTGTTACATAATTCCTAGTCATCAAGGAAGAGATATTATCCTAATCGTGGTTACTGATCATTAGTTAGTTTATTCCAAAATGACGCCCAAATATGAACTGGAGCGTGCATCACTTTCATCAATGAATTTCATTGAGAAGTAGGTATTTAGGTAATTTATAAAATAAGTACCGACGGGTTTATTAAATAAATAACAAGTTCCTTTTTCCAGGTTGACGAGGAACATAGAAGAACGTACACTCGCACCTCCGTACTGGATACCCTACACAAAGCCCCTGGTGGGACCACCAACCACGACAAATGCGCTGCGCATTACTGCCCGCACATGTAACGCTCTGTCACAAACATAGCACGTGTAACACACTGTCACAAACATTGCAGGTGTAACACACTGTCACATGTCATAAACATCGCACGTGCAACACAGTCACATTTCCATGAATCGCACGTGCAACACTGTCGCGAACATCGCACGTGTAAACTGTAACACTGTCACATGTCACAAACTTTGAGTACGGCCATTCAGAAAATGCGGCAGTTGTTACGGAGTGATGTCTAGATGCACCTTTAGTATGGCGCCTGCCAGAGGAACCATGGTGCTTATTATTTAGTTATTTATCTTCCATAATTTAGTTTTAAGTTACTTTTCCATAACTTACTTTTTAGTATATATTGGTTTGTACTGGGTTTTGTACGCATCTTACCTCCTGTACCACTCCATCTTTACCGTTTTTTCAAACTTACTTTGTTTACGTCATCACTGTTCCAGTTTTACCTAGGAATCGGTTATGTTATTTCTACAGTGAAGTTCTATACTCTTAAGGTGTTGAATTTGAGATAGAAATCTGGCAAAACGGCTAGCAGTTTTTCACCGAAATTGCGAAATTAAAATAGTAATCCCCGTTTGTTTCTGATGGACAGGAAGGCCCCCATTTTAGATAACTCGGGACTCTATCTCAAATCTCAGCACTATAGAGATAATATATTTGACATACCTTACTTTTTGGATGCTAGTAATTATAAGTAAAGTTTAATGTATCGAAATAAATCCCCTATTTGTACTAGCATGTACTTTTGTGTAATCTGATAACCGAAATTTACTCTATGGTTTGAAGTTTTGAGGTACGAACTTCATGATTTAAGCATTATGGATTTGTTAAATTTTGGACATCAAGTAAAATAATATTGTAATTTATCGATCGCTGTTGTGGAATTAAGCTGCATTGCACATTGACACATTTTCATTTTGTTAACCTCCTCGTTTACTCTTGTACATATTATATGAATGGGTATCAAACTAAATTAACCAGCTCGATGGTCTCTGATAGGCTTCTCTCACAAAGAGAGAAAAATAAGCAAAATGAATGCGTTCTGAAGTCATCGCGCGCCATGAGGTAACAGAATGGATAGCTATGCTGAAAGTGAAAGTGAAAGATTTCCTTGGATCTACTTTAAATAGTACTTGATGGCTACTCGTTAATTCCTTTATTTAAGGGTAACCTTAGAGTGACATCGCGGATATCTCCCAGCTAGCTCCAATAGAACTTGGTGAATTTTTATTGATATATGCTCTATTATATCGAGGCCTCCACTAATCTAATAATTACAATAAAAAGTTTGAGCGTTTTAAGTAACAATGTTTAACTTTATAGAGTGCGTGCGTGAACACGCACTGAAAGTACATGGAAAGTGTATACAAGATAAGTGGAGGATGAATACAAGGATAAAATCTGAATATTGTAATTGATGAAATTGCACTCGCATCAAACACTCGACTTGATACAGCATATTATTAAAGTAAACTTTGATTTTAAATAAATCTAACATTGAGTTATGTCCAATTGAACTTGAAGGGCAAGACTGGATCTGGAAGAGTAATCTTAGGGCCTACGAAATAATTTCTAACGGTATTTTGTCGAGATAAACATCCTGCATCCTTTGAACATCCTCGATTTGCTTGAATCTCAAAAATTGGCGAGCTTAACTCAAATAAAGTCCGATATGGTAGTTAAATTATCTACATTAAAATTAAATTAATGCCTTTGCGACCATTCATTTTTTTCAAAATTATATACAACCGTTCACATAATGTTTGGTCAAATAACGTCTAATAACTCCAGTAGGCAATTTGTATTTTCTTTTCAGGAGAAATTTTAGTCTCCGTCCTTCTGATCGCCCGACCCAGCAGACCTTACTGGCTGGCGATATTACTACAGCATACAGAGCTACAGGTTATCGCGTCTACACAGCTTTGAGCTTGTTCATTGTTCAACTCCGTGCGCGCTCGTTCGCTCCTACTAAATCGCTCGCCCAAATTTTAAGAAAATTCTAAACCCTAATCCCAACCCTAACCCTAACTATAAGTATAACCCGAAGCTAACCAATACCATAACCCTTACCATTGCTCTAATTTAATCAGAGCCCTCTCGCTTGCAGTGAAACAAGCGTTGACATACGTTGCATGCCACTTTTCGCGCGCGAAGCGCGCGCCGCCGATATTTGTGATACGTAACATGTATCAAAACAAGCGCGCACGCGTCACGCAGTACGCGTAGACACATGGCTATGTGAACCTTTACCACAACCCTAACCCTAACCCGAGCCCTAAACAATCGAATTCATGGTTTACTAGCCTGTCACGTGACCAAAAGTCAAGTGAAATTTTTGGGCGAGCGAATTAGTAAAAGCCGCGCTCGTTAGTTCATTGCATTTGCACGCTTCAAACATTCCAAGAATGCAATTGCATCACGTACCACGTTGTATCACGTTGCGACCCCACGGTCGTTTCACTATGGTGGACGATATAACAGGGGGAGCCGCGCACTTCGTGCGCGGCGGGTCATACAACGTATGACAAGTACCACGTGATACGATTCAGCCAATCAGAGAACAAGAATCCGCAAAATTAAAGCTGCGCACTTTTAAAAGGTCCAAAATAAGACTTTTCGTGATAATTCAAAATCTACGTTGTTTTGAATTTTCTTCCTGGGAGGAAACGTTATTTTTACAAAGCGAACCTTTTGTTGAAAACCAGACGTTTCTATTTCTTTTATTTTTGAAGTTAGGCCCCTACCAGTAAGGTTTCTTGGGGACGCCCACATCTCTTAACTCAAACTGACTTGCTTAAAAGTATAAAGCTCACGCGCGACATTAAGCATGTTTTGCACTCGTGGCGCATTCCAATCTTCAAGCAGCCATGACTCCATGAGCAGGTGACACAATTCAGCCAATCAGACTCAGAAGACAGAAATCCGCAAAGTTAAAGTTGCAAACTTTTGATCGGCCCAAAATGAGACTTTTCTGGAGATTTTGAGATAACTCAACAACTACGTTGTTTTAAATTTTCCTCTTGGGGAGATAACGTTACTTTTACAGTTTTACAAAACGAACATGTTACAAAAAACCGAAAATCGTGATCCCTTAACTTTTGAAGTTAGGCCCTGGCCAGTAAGGGTTTCTGGGCTCCCCCATCCTTCGGCTTCTATGATGTATGCGAATATTGAATACACAATCCACGTTTAACGAGCGTGCTAAATCACTTTATGGCTACAGTGATCGATCTTCGAGATTTTTCTAAAAGGGCGGCCCACAATTTTGACGGAGTCTATGTCCAGCGACCGATTATCGAGTTCAGTGTAGATAGAACAAAACATGATTGAGGTCAGAAGTAATGGAATAGGATAAGTGTTCTTAATCATAGCAAAATTTGTTATTAGTATGCTTAATCGTAATGATAAGTGAAAACGGAACAGTGAATACTGTGAACAGTAAACGCTGTAAAGTTTTGTGGAAATTAGAGCTTATATCTTAACCGCAAACTATTGAATATGAGCTAAGGCCCTCGAACACTTTCACGGATAATGAATGGCGAATGAAAGATAAGGTAACCGTCGCGTTGAGGATCGCCCAAAGCGCAGGAAGTGACCTCGCTCGTCACATGCAATGAGAACACGCGCGCACGCGTTCTCCATGGCAACAGACGTACCAGGGCGCCATAAAAAGCTTCCCTCACACGTAAAACCTCAGTTCTTTATTCGTTTTTTTCTAAATTCGCTTATAGTCCGTCCGCCCTATCGTTTCGTTTGGAAAATTCAGGAAAACACAAAGTTAAAAGATTATCTACAGTTGTCTGACATTAAAGTTATAACTATGGGTCAGACTTACAGTACACAAGCATTTAGTGATATTGTAAGTAAGATTTAAGCCTTTACGGCCTTATTTCAATCTTATTGTTTTTCGACATCAACCTTCATTATTAGTTTTTTGGGCCGTGGTGCTTGAACGCTTGAAATGTTTTTTTGTTTAAAAACCACAAACACATTTATGCTGTTACCCGATTTGTGAAGGCCGGTTTTTCTGATTAATTTTTGATGAAGAGCTGTATGTGTATTTGTAAACTTTTCCACATCATACATACTACGTTGCGTCCCGCAATTATGTATTCATCCAATTTCTCCTCACTTGCCGTAACTTTTACTTTTCGGTTGTTCCTGTCGGTTTTAGTCTCATATAAGATAATGCAAATGTAGTTAGAAGCAGATGTTTAACTTATTAACAATCTTACAGGATTCATATCTGACAAGCAAGAAAATGGTTGAAAATCAGAAACTTGTCAGAAAGACTCAATCAGTAACACCGCTTCAAAATCGAACAGAAATTCAGAAAATGCAGGAATCTTGGTCCACGGTTTGTTTGTTGTTTAAAATTGAAGCTATCCGCTTTCAATAGTATTAATATTATTCAAGTAATAATGGGTATAGCCAACAGTCTAGAAGAAAGGAGTGACATAATTGTAAATGTAAGTGAAATGAAAAGCTTTTAGTTTTACGGCCTGTTTATTGAAACAAATTTTGCAGTTGTGATCAATACTTTTCTCAAACCTGTACAGGGCATTTTTAACTAAAAACCTTTGAACCTAATTTTGGTCAACCGATTTGTTTAGTTCTTTATACTTTTATACTTTTATGATACAGGCTGTATATTATTGCGTGACGTTGTAATAGCTTTTTATAAAAGTATAAATTAAGTTTAATTTAAAGTCGATGGCCCCCGATCATCGATTCGTCCAAATCTATTGGCTTACAATTACATTACATTTACTCTTCATGCTTCAGTTGTTTTTGTTAGTTGCAGTCTCATAAAGGACCATGCAAACGTAGTACCTGTTGCTTTATCATTGTGCTTAACCTATTTTCAAACTTACAGGCCGTTTCAAACCAGACATACAACAATAAGGAAAAGTCTGAAATCATGAAACAAGTCAAAAACTTGTCACCGCTTCGAGATCAAACCGAAATTAACATCATGAAGTCTTGGGAATCTTGGACCATAGTAAGTGATGCGTTCAATAGCCGTTTTAATTTCATTCAAATGCTGGTATTTGCAATTGAGCCATCATGCCTTTTCAATTTCACTTTTATGATCCACAGCTCTAGCTGTTTCATTTAAAGCATCTTAAGTTGAAGTTAATTACTAATACTAATAATATACTAATAATATCTTAGCAGCAAGCCAAGTTTCCGTGTAAGAACCCTGTATTCCCTACTCAAAAAGGAGAGGGATCAAAACAGCTGTCGGAGAATGAGAAGACGAAAAACTGTCTTCTGGTAGAAAAAACGATAAAGCTGCAGCAAGATAACGAAAGCCTCAAGTTTCAAATGCAGCAGAGGATTTACCAAGAAGAAGCAAATCTGTACCATGAGCAGGCGAAGACCTACAAAGAGCAGGAAAGGAGACTTAAGGAGGTAAAGAAGAATGAAATCCTCCAAGAGAAACTTTCTAGAGTCGAAGAGGAGCTGTTCATGTCACATACAATATGTATGAATGATTGTGATTATGACCCAATGAACTGCTCGAGTGACTCTGATTGTACACTTACAAATGATGTGAACCTAATGGACTGCTCAAGTGATTCTGAGGTATGATTTTGAATCATTGACTCGATCATTTTGGTTTAGCCGTTAAGGTTACTGTCTGATCTAAGAAACGTTGACAATAATATATCAATATTATCCGTTTTGGTTACTATACTTAGGTTATAAACCTATGATTACTTTTACTTTTCGTGGATCAGCAACGACAGCATGTAACAATGAACAAGTTTGAAGTTATAGTTAGAATTAATTTATTTTCAGGCCACTCTTGTCAATTGCAGCGAAACTGAACAAAAGGATCATCCGAAAGCCGATGACCATGCTCAAGTCACCTCTTCAAGCCCTCAAACAGGACAATTTGATTTCGAGCAAAGTATCACCGAGGATAATGATTCTGGCATTTATTTTGAATCTGACATTGAGGTAAAAATCACTTAAATTAATTTTGTTAAACATTTTAGTTTTACCACATCTACAATTTTGTGTTTTTGTCATTACGTTTCTGGAAGCCAATTGATTTGACTTTGAGGAAGCCATTAAATAAGGTCTTTAACAGCAATGCCCATGCCAGTATAGTATGTTGGCGGTGCTTCAATTTTATTTATAAGTTTAACACTCAGTTATAAGCATGAAACTATTAAAATAGTAGTAATTTCCATTAACAAACAATCGTCATACATTTAAGACTTCATCGAAACGTTAAACTTTGGTTAACTAAATATGTTTTCCTAATACGTACGTATGCAGCCTAGGGGTGCCGGTGAGAACTTATAAAATATGTTAGGCCTGAAATTCCAGCTTAACGACCTGCTAATACAATTATGTTCCTGTTGGCTGGAACATTATTATGAATAATTACCAAACCGACCGGATCAAACTGGTCACCGAGGCGCATAGTTACGCATAGTAACAAGTTTAGGCGATGTTAGCTGCTCCTTAATAAAATTTTTCGTTTTATCATTTATACAAAATTGTATTTTTGTCACTTATAAAAAACTTTGCGCGGCGCGCGCTTTTTCAATTGCTTATTCTAATACAAAATAAAAATACTTTGTCGAGCATAATAATTTATAAAATGTTTATGTATTTTGTTTGTTTTTTGTTAAATAATTCTTTGTGTTGATGATAATTAATCATCACAGCAATAAAAAACCTTTTTGTTTATTATATTTAATGGACTAATCCGGCGCGCGCTATTAGTATTTCGCTGTTTAAACTTTGCAGCACTTTGCATATAATATATATTTTGCCTATATAATACTATTACTAAGACAGCACTTATTTGCACCTTGGGCTATACTTTGTACTTTGAAGAAATTTAGACGAATAATATTATCAACATCCGTCAATTATTTTACAATTAATTCCTATTAGCTGCGAAGCTGCTAATTTTATTACATCATAAACAAGTACATATTAAAACAATTTTTAAATGGTGCCATGTGCAATGGTCTTGTCAGGCGATTCCCGAAATCCCATTAACAAACCAAAAATGAAGGGAATGGATTTCTAATAATTATTTCATCCTCTAGGTACAATATAAAAGTACAGGCAACACCAAAAAGAAATGCAATTGCAAAACAGTCCAGCCGGAATCTATTAGTGGTACTGATAAAATAGCTACAGATGGTGACCGTGAAGCAGAGATTCTTGTTACCTTGTGCAATGCTAATAAAGAAATCACACGGTTGGAGCATTTTCTTCAACTTTCAAACGACAAAATTGGCTCCACTAGAGAGCAGTTGAATGACCTGAAAGCGACACTTCAGAAAGTTGAGCAGGACAGATTTCGTTTAATCAGTGAGTCCTGTTTTTTTGTTTTTCCTAAACTGCTTTATGTTTGTTAACAATATTGTTATTAATCTACATTGTACTAAGTACTTTATATTGGAAATATTTCACTCGTATTATAATTATATTTGAAGTGCAGTTAAAGCATTTAAGGATTATATAATGAGGTCTGATCGTCATCTTCATACAGCGTTCGATGTCTGTGTGAAGGTAAAATGGTGATATCCTCTGGATCAGGCAGAGGTTGAGTGTTATCGGGATTATTTCTTTAGTAGTGGAACAGCAATACTAAGGTAATGGGACTACTGCGGACCCTCTACCGGCCAAACCTTGTTAACAAAGCCGCAGTCAAGGTTCGGTGAACGGTAGTTAAAAGCGCTTAAGGGACATAAGTCAAATTGGTAGAGCAACATCATGTAGTGGACATCTTAAGAAATGAGGAGTGGGTAGAATGTTAGGTTGCTCCTTTATAAATCGTCTTTTTCTCCGATAATAAGTTGACATCAAGTCTTGAAAATTATTCGAGAAGAATCTCGAATAATTTAGTTGCAGCGTGCCACATGGCTATCTAAACTGCAAACCCTACCCATTGCTGATCAAGGCCTTTATCTTCTCCGACGAGCGGGATCATCAATAATGAGGTCTGATCGTCATCTTCATACAGCGTTCGATGTCTGTGTGAAGGTAAAAGGTAGAGGGTCCGCAGTAGTCCCATTACCTTAGTATTGCTGTTCCACTACTAAATAAAAACATTTAAGGATTAGTTAAAACATCTTGGAGAACATGCAGCTGCATGTAGGTAGAATATTATAGCTTATTTAACTAACTTATTTTTCTTGGTTGCTCGCTTCTTACCAAGCTGTTACTTCAGGTATCAACCAAGCAAACAAGAAACAGCTCAAGGAATTGTGTCCCTTGAACAAGAAACTAACGGACGGTCTTATCGAGTTTCAGTCTGATTGGGATAAAATCCAGATTGAGCACAAACAAGTTGTCCAGAACCTAACAACTGACAACGAAAATCTGAACAAACAAGTTATCGAGTTAAGGTCTGATTTTCATTTAAAGGAGGGGAACTACAAAGATATGGTTCAAGAACTAACCTTGGAAAAGAAAAACTGTCCGCGGAAACTGGCAACCTCACCGAGCAACTTGTCGAGTTACGGTCTGACTTTTCTGCAAAGGAGGACAAGTACAAAAATGTGGTTCAGAACCTAACCGTGGAAAAAGAGAAACTATCTGCGGACCTTACCGAACAGCTAGTCGAATTACGACCTGTTTTTCGTGAAAAGATTTACTACAAAGATTTGTTTGAGAAACAGTCCTTGAACAATGCAAACTTGAAAAATGTGGTTCAGAACCTAACCTTGGAAAAGGAGAAACTGTCTGTGGAAAATGGTAACCTCACTGAGCATCTCGTCGAGTTAAGGACTGATTTTTCTGCAAAGGAGGACAACTACAAAGATGTGTTCCAGAAACTCTTCGTCGACAACAAAAACCTAAACAAACAACTTGTCGAGTTAAGGTCTATGGTTCAGAACCTAACCGTGGAAAAGGAGAAACTGGCCGTGGACAATGACAACCTCACCGAACAACAAGTCGAGTTACAGTCTGATTTTTCTGCAAAGGAGAACAACTACAGAGATGTGTTCCAGAAACTATCCGTCGACAACGAAAACCTGACCAAACAACTTGTCGAGTTAAGGTCTGGTTTTTATGTCATGGAGATAAACTACCGTAGATTGGGGTAAAATCGCCGTGTCGGGGAACTTCGCCACTATTTTTCAAATAATCATTTTACTGTTTTGAATTGTTAGGAGATCGAGTTTTTGTATAGTATTGTGTTGAACAAATGGTTATAAAGGTATTCCTATTCAAAAATAAACGTTTACTATGTTAATTAAACTCAGGCAACATGAAATATTGCTATAAAGTGGCTAAAATTTCCTGCTTGCATATTTCCTATATTTTACAATTATATCCGTAATTAATTCTGTGTGACATCATTAGCATATGTCCTGTTCATTTAAAGGAAAATTTAGTTAGCCATGATGCACACAACTGATATTATAAAGTTTTCAAATTTGTGTGTGGCGAAGTTACCCTCTTCTGATCCCATCTGTTCGGCGAAGTTTGGCGTGAAATTCGCGCGCGGCTGGCAAAGTCACGCACGTGTATTGGCGAAGTTCGACTACATTTCTACTTCATCCCGGCGATGTTACCCGCAGCATGGCGATGTTACCCCGGCGACCAAATTGCCCATTGTAACACGCAGGCTAGAGCTAGATAAGTAAAATTGGCAGGTATATCAAGGAAATATAATTGAGTTTCGAGTGGTATGGTGCTTAGCACCGAATATGGCATAGTTTCAGAATGGCGAAGTTACCCCATATTGCAGGGTAACTTCGCCCTGATTTCAGTGGCACCAATCTAGCTGACTATTTATGCCTGGCTGATGTGGTTCATACGAAAACATTTGCTTTACCAATCCTGTTCATATGAGCTATAAACTTTTTCAAGTACTCGTGTCGTATTTTCTAAATAACATGAAATAGCTGTAAAACATGGCGAAGTTCCCCCATTCTACGGTACAAAGATGTGGTTCAGAACCTATCAGTGGAAAAAGAGAAACTATCTGCGGACATTGAAAACCTCAATAAACAACAAGTTAAGTTACGGTTTGATTTTTCTGCAAAGGAGAACGGCTACATAGATATGTTTCAGAAACAGTCCATGGACAATGATGACCTCAATAAACAGACTGTCGAATTGCAGTCTGTCTTTTGTGTAATGGAGGATAACAATAACAACCTAAACAAACAAATTGCCGAGCTAAAGTCTGGATTTTGTGTTATGGAGGGGGAGTACAAATTTGTGGTCGACAACATGACCGCGGAGAATCAGAATCTCACCGTGGAGAATGAGAATCTAATCTTGGAAAAGGAAAGTTTTTACAAAAGGCTCATCACTTTTATAAAATGTCAAGTGTAACCTATCTACATACATTGAACAGCCCTAAACCAGGTTCCGATAAAATAACAGCCAAAACTCCACACAAGATACACCTGTAAAAGTCTGCATCACGAGTACTTTCCAAAACACCTAACAACATGCAGATCTACAGCAGATGAAGATTGAACAAACGTAAACTGAAGAGAAAGATAAAGATATAATATTGACGCCAAGAAGAAGACCTATAAAACACTGCAAGAAGAATATTGTTAAACGTTTGACGTTTGATATACGGTTGAATTTATATACTTGATGATGTTGAGTTACTTAGATGAAAATGCACAATGATATGTGTAGTTTTTGTTTATCTTAGTAGCTTCACAATATGATCACTGTATTTGAGAATATTATATCCCTAATATTAGGGATTGTTCATTCGTGAAAATTACTTTCTGAGCACAAGATGTGCATAATTTCCAACCGATTTGGTGGAAATGATAATTACCTGTTAGTGAAATGAGCGAACAATTTCTTGTCATTTCAATTTCAAGTTGATCTGAAAGTAACCAAGTTGAATGATTGGGTGATTGTTAGATATCTGCATAGTATAATAAAAGTGACTTAATTGTGATATCAATTAAAGTGACTTTGAAGATTAATAGTTATTTAATAAAAGTTACTTAATTGTGATATTAAGTGACTCAAAGGAATAAAAGTTGTTAAATAAAAGTGACTTTATTGTGATATTAATTAAGTGATTTTGAAGATTAAAAGTTATTTAATAAAAGTTACTTAATTGTGTTATTAAGTGACTTAAAGGAATAAAAGTTCCTTAACAAAAGTGACTTAATTGGCTTTGAAGATTAAAAGTTACTTAATAAAAGTTACATAATTGTGATATTAATTAAGTGACTTTGAAGATTACAAGTTACTTAACAAAAGTGATGAATATATGTGATCCTGTTAGCAATATAATTTGAATAGATCTGATTTTAATAGCTATTTATCCGAATATTACATGGATTGTGAGGAAGGGAGGGGCGAAACAAGTTCTAACAATTTCTAACAACTTAAATGTCTAATACAATAAACCGAAACCTAATTCTTAGTTCTGAGAATCATTCTCTCAGAGGCAGGAGATAGTTAGTAGGAGCTGATAGCTAACAGCTAAAGAAATTGTAAATTGCACATAAAAAGTAAATCACCTTATTGTACGACTTTAGAACGTGTAAAAAAGGTGTTTCGCCCCCCCCCCCCCCCCACCTGCACCCCAACCACCCTATGGTTGACAAAAATGTGACTGATAATTATTAGTAACTCAGATAAATAGTGATACTTCATGTTCGTTTAGTTTTACAATGTTGATCAAAGATCATAGATATAAATAATTTACTTTTGTTAAACCAGTAATATTTGTATTTATTTGTTTTTTAAATGAACCCTAATTTGAATTTAAAAACATATTTTGAAGACTCCTTACCACATACTGATAGCAAAGGAAACATCGCCGTTTGTAACATCGCGATATCTTTTTTTAGTATATAAATTGAAGTAAGAGTGGTGCCGGTTCTGCTGCAGCATTTAGAGCTTCATTTATTTTGGTTTTCTTTTGTTCACTATTTCTTATAATGGGTATCCGTGTGCGGAGTGTGTGTTCCAACCCCCGATCTTCCGGGTCTTTGACTCCCTGGAAAACTCCCTGTATCCCTTTGAGTAACCCCTCCCCCCATGAGCCGCCTCTGGTGTCTGGGTTAAGATCTGTTGATTCTTCAGCCGTCAGCAAGTTTCTTGGAATACTGTCCCGAGGATTAAGATCCACTGCAAAATTACCTAACATTTGACTAAGGGTGGTGTCTAAGGTTGAAAACTCGTGCGTGTTTCACTGCCAAGAGTCCGTGTTCCATCGCGTGCAATAAAATTAATCAAATTATTAAAGTGATGATGGCTCTCGTGCAGAAATATTGCACCACCATATCTATTGGTAGTCATATTATGGATGTTGTTTTCAGAGATGGTCTGGTTAATAGATTTGGACGCTGCAGGTGGGGGTTGAATCATATTTTTCAACAGTACGTGACACCTATTAACCAATCAGATCTAGGACTGACCTATCAAAAAATGAAAATGCGAAATGATCACTGTCGCTTGTTAAGACCAATATGAAGTATCCGAATTTTCTGTCCATAAATAATATTCGAGCCTACTAAATTCAATAACTAAATTGATCGTAGTTGATCACCAGGCCGTGGACAATATATAAAACACCGATTTGTATATATAAGAACATATGACATTACTTATTAAGTTCCTGAATGAAAAGTTCAAAGGTTATATAAATTCAAATGGTTTTAAAGGAAATTTGGCCGTGATCAAAAAATATAAACTCCGAAAAGTTTGCAATGGTTAAATGTCATCGGTTAACCATATTATCGAAAATTTGAATTACAAAATGACATATTTCTAAAATTAATTTTCGATCTTTACCAAAAGAAGCTACTTGAACTGATTGTGCTGTCTTCATATTATTATCATATTTGAGTATCTGGGTCGACTTGAATCCAACTGACTTACAATTGTTCATCAAATTCGCATATAGCAGTACAAACTCCTTTCACATTTAGGCTTTAGCTCCAGCACTGAGACTAAAATGTCTTGAAGTGATAACAATATGAAATTCAACAAGCAAAAGATGAAAAATATCCCGCAGCGTTTGTTACAAAAGGTGCTATGTTCAGCCACTTTCCTCGTCCGCGCAGAGGGTAAACTTCATTTTTGTGTAGGCAAGTTTTTTGGGAACCGGACGGAGAGGTCCGAACTGTGGCCGTGACGTGAAGGGCTCGATAATATCTGATCTGCGGAGTTGGTTGTTCATCAGAGCTATGTATTCGTTTCTCACCTCTCTGAAAAATAAGCATGGTTTATCATTAGTTAAGGTTTCCTTAAAATATGAGTCATAATTTTAGTCGTATCCTGTTTCTAACTTTCTAAAGCTGTAGTAAGGTTGGCTTTTGGTACGAATGAGAGAAACTCCGCTCATTCAAACACCAACCTTACTTAATCCTACCGCTCCTGTTAAATGACTGCTTGTGACTGCTTGTGACTGCTTGTGACTGAAAGCACCCTCCTACAGTTTCTAACGAGCACACCTGACCGTATCTTACATAACATAATGCCTGCCCCAACACTGCACATATTATGTAACTCAGCCACTTTTCAACCTTATTTAATGTGCACAGTTAAATTGGAAGTTTAGCCTCAGGCCTCTTCAAAGGGGGCGACATGTGTGGGCGGCTACTCGTAGTGACTAGTGAGGAGGATTTGTCTTAAATAATTTAAATTAAGCTCGTTATCGATCTGATAGATTGTTTAAGTTGGATCGTAATCTTACAGCTTTGGTCCTAATAAGAATATGTGTTCAAAGAGCAGATATGTTTAATAACTAGTTAACTTGTAATTTGTTCGTTATAAATTTCTGTTCAACGTTCAAAGGGTAACGGGGAGACAATTTGTTTGATATCTGACTACTGACTAGAATACTAGATATTGAAACTTTTTTTACAAAACTTTTAAATCAAAGCTTGTACTTTCATTGCACGTGTATCTTTGTTTTTCCTTTTATCAAGCACGCACGTACATGTAAATTTAGAATCAGCGGTGTACTTTTCATTTTACCAGCACTGCTGCCCAGATACGACTTATAAAACAGTCGGTACACTTCCAGTTGCTTGTCAAAGACTTGAGCCGAAGTTGTCAAGTCGGCCTATCGGTGCATGGTCTCAAAGAGATGTCTCAATGAGCATGCAATTTTCGTGGAACGAAACTTGCCACCTCAGCAATGTAATATGATACACGTTTGCACAAATTTATTGGCAAAGTAATGACCTGTACAATTTTAAAGTATGAGATATTGTGGTTTGGTTGAGAGAAAGAATGTGGCGAAAGATGAGAAAGTTATATTTGGATTTTTTTAAACAATTTCCAACCTCCAATTCTTCAGCTCTTGTGTTTCATCGCTTGCTTTTTTCAGCTTCTTCAGCCAATTATTCAGAATGAGTCGTTCTGAAAATAACAATGTTAAGGTCCGTTTGAAGAATAATTTCTGGGCCGCAACTTAAATACTTAAGATAAAATCAAAGTTAATGTAAGCTGACGTTTCGAGAAGTAACTCATATAGATATTGTGATCGTATTATGTCGAAAAGTGACTAAAAGAGAAATACGAAACACATGTATAGTTATACTGTATCGGAAAGGAAATGTATTAAACTGGTATACTTAAAGACAAATCCTGAGAATAATTTGAAACTGTAAAGTATATTTAACTAAAATCAAAGCGAAACTTAATCCATCATTTATTGCTGAAATTATCTTACGTTTAGAAGGAAGATTCTCGAGATACCCCATAACCTCATCGAATTCCTTTTTAAACTCCAAATCCATCATGTCAGAATCCTGGGAAATGGTAATCGTAATAGTTAATGAACGTAAAGACAATCCTTTAGACTCACAGCTGTTCTCATATGCTATTTGCTAAGTGAATCGTCTGACTCTAGTGCTAGTACTTATAAAACCTGACGCTGTATGGTTATCGTTGCCTAGGGTTCTGAAATTGATAAGGGCCCTGTATTATGACAATAAAGCGCATTCCACGTGACATTAATTCTATGGAATGCAGTTATCATAAGTGCTAATCGGTTTCACAATCCTAGAAGGGTGAACTCTCATGCATACGATATGATGGTTGATAAATCTCAACAATCTCTGCTTGCCACGACTCTATAAACTTATAAATAGCTGGTTTTATAATTGATAGATTATCATATGGCATACACCATGAGCGGGATCAGTTCTTTTAAAACTTTAAATTTGTTTAGTCTGAAGATCTTGGAGGTGTAAAACTTAAAAGTTAATATTTATCTGTGCTTAATGCTTATCCGGAAATTTCTATCCTTGTCTTTGATTCGGTTTAAAATTATAAGTAGGAAGAATGCTAGGTACAAGATTTGACCGGAAACCTAGTTTCAAGGAACACTGCTGAATCCTTAAAACCACCTTGTCGAGAAACGACCGAAGAGTGCATAGTTTTAACCGTGTTAATTTTGTTTACGAAAACATGATACAAAATTTCTTTTCTACGCGATGAATCCTTGATGATTGTTTTTCGTTGCAATCATTTGTGACTTGAATTTCGATAGACATAACTCAAAATTTGCTGAAATGTGTCGATATCTGATCACGCCTGATCGCATATTAATCAATATAAAATTGTTTGTCTAAAAATAGAATGTTTTCATAATTCTAACCGCGTGTAACTTTAATATAAATTTATAGTTTAAACCATAACCGATAAGAAGCATCGCCCGCGGTTATCGTGACCATGAGCCCTGGAAAGAGTGCAGGTTATTTTTAGAGATAAAATATTCCACGTAAGAAGCTTAACTTTTGGGGTAAACCTACAAAATGTTGTGCTATTTCCACAATCCCATAGGAGTGAAGTCTCCCGTACTTATCAGAAGCATATTGTGTTGTGGTTAAATATTAACAATATGCGCAGATGCACGCCAGGAATCTAAGACTAATTCATGTGAATTAACAAGTTTTATTGTTAATATATATTAAGATGAACGACAACTGAGCCTGAATTATTGAATTAAGTATAATCATGTTAAAATTCGTGCATACAACGTACAGTCGAATAATTGCCTGATTTTAAAATTTATACAGGTCATCCTCATCCAGGAATAAAAAGAAATATAAATCTTACATGGCTAGAAACATTTAATTTGAATCTAGAACAAAATTAAGACTATCAGATTGTATGTACCAGTAGCACTGTTCCGGTTCGGATTACAGACAGCTACAATCACTTATAAAGGAACTTATAAATCAAGTTAGTTCTACAAAATGAATTTTAGAAGCTACAGCCGAATAACTAACTTTTCCCAACACAATTTGAATTATGTTATAATTATAACATTTAATTATAAATATACATATTATTACCTTGACAGGAGTATTTTCACCATCCATACTGGCTCTGTTCCGTTCATTTGTGTCGGGTCGTTTCTTCAGGGCTCGTCTCTTTCCCGTTCCGTTAGCAACTGTTGCCATATTGATCTGACACAAGATTGATTGAAAAGAAAGCGAGAAAGCTGAGAAACAGTTTCATAATTTATACAAAATTGTTTTTAAAATATGCGGCCCTGGCTTTTGTGTTCGGTCGGCATAACTTCTTTGAATTGTATCTTTATATCATATTGATTATAAAATATGCTGAAAATTGAAAATAATCGTGGCGACAATTCTCTTTGTAAGCTACTCTACAAGTGGTGTGACAAAAGAGCTAGAAATTCCGACCAGCTAGAAATTTACAGCCATACTAAAACCAGTGCGTGCCAGAACAGTCGCTTTAAAATTACCTCCAGCCGCCCACTGTCCAGCAGATTAAAAACTTGTCTCAAGACATTATCCTCCGCTCGAGAGAGAGAGAGAGAGAGATGATAATATGAACATAAGACAAATCAAGAGATAGCGGTAGCATCTCGAGTGGACTGCTTGCTGTATCGATAAGCAGAAGAACTGAAGAGAAAAGACACGTGCTCCACCACTGACGCAGCGGTCACGTGGTGCAGAAAGAGAGATTTGAGGTTAGATAGAGAAGAGAGAAGTGGTCCCCTCGTGAGAGGAGGAGGAGGAGGAGTGTAGGATGGTCAGTTGGTGGTGTGACTGGAGGAGTAGTTCAATGTTATTGGAGATGTGGGTGGGGTGGTGAGTAGTGGTGAGGAAAAAATGTCTTGAAAGAGGAATTACATGAGGTAGTCCGTGCGAAAATATGTAAAAATAAGCGTGGGTCTGCTTTGAGGGTTTTCAAAATTAGCTGAGGTATGTTTCATTGAAGCAGGAAACTCCGCTCATATGTGTTTGAATCTTGGACTTTACAAAGGTAAAAATAGCGAGGTTTGTAACGATTCAAATCTTGAGGTCTGCAAAGATTAAAATGCTGAGGTTTGCATGCTCCAAATCTTTGCGTTGGAAAGAGTACAAGATCGACTTTTTTAGGCGACATAAATTGATCTTAAATCGTCATACGAGAAAGAAGTTAAGCAAAGGTTATTATATTTAAACAACTGTGACCGCATGCATGACGGCAAGAAATTCATCCTAAAATAAAGGAATAAAATTTCCATTTGACTAAACCGTCAATCAAAGAAAATTATGAAATTCTCGTCTAGTTATACTGGAATTGTATGTTATAAAACATTAATAAGTTGAATATCGAAATTTGACCCTTACAAATTCCAGTTTAGAGATCAATTATCGCACATGTCAATGCAAATGAACGTAGTATAATTAAATCATTGTACACTGAATATAAATAAATGTCTAATATTATTCTGTTTGTCTGTTTGTCTGTTTGTCTGTTTGTCTGATTGTCTGTTTGTATTTTTGTCTGTTTGTCTGTTTGCCTGTTTGTATGTTTGTCTGTTTATCTGATTGTCTGTTTGTATTTTTGTCTGTTTGTCTGTTTGCCTGTTTGTCTGTTTGTCTGTTTGTCTGTTTGTCTGTTTGTCTGTTTGTCTGTTTGTCTGTTTGTTTGTTTGTCTGTTTGTCTGTTTGTTTGTTTGTTTGTTTGTTTGTTTGTTTGTTTGTTTGTTTGTTTGTTTGTTTGTTTGTTTGTTTGTTTGTTTGTTTGTTTGTTTGTTTGTTTGTTTGTTTGTTTGTTTGTTTGTTTGTTTGTTTGTTTGTTTGTTTGTTTGTTTGTTTGTTTGTTTGTTTGTTTGTTTGTTTGTTTGTTTGTTTGTTTGTTTGTTTGTTTGTTTGTTTGTTTGTTTGTTTGTTTGTTTGTTTGTTTGTTTGTTTGTTTGTTTGTTTGTTTGTTTGTTTGTTTGTTTGTTTGTTTGTTTGTTTGTTTGTCTGTTTGTTTGTTTGTTTGTTTGTTTGTTTGTTTGTTTGTTTGTTTGTTTGTTTGTTTGTTTGTTTGTTTGTTTGTTTGTTTGTTTGTTTGTTTGTTTGTTTGTTTGTTTGTTTGTTTGTTTGTTTGTTTGTTTGTTTGTTTGTTTGTTTGTTTGTTTGTTTGTTTGTTTGTTTGTTTGTTTGTCTGTTTGTTTGTTTGTTTGTTTGTTTGTTTGTTTGTTTGTCTGTTTGTTTGTTTGTTTGTTTGTTTGTTTGTTTGTTTGTTTGTTTGTTTGTTTGTTTGTTTGTTTGTTTGTTTGTTTGTTTGTTTGTTTGTTTGTTTGTTTGTTTGTTTGTTTGTTTGTTTGTTTGTTTGTTTGTTTGTTTGTTTGTTTGTTTGTTTGTTTGTCTGTTTGTTTGTCTGCTTGTTTGTCTGTTTGTTTGTTTGTCTGTTTGTTTGTCTGCTTGTTTGTCTGTTTGTCTGTTTGTCTGTTTGTCTGTTTGTCTGTTTGTTTGTCTGTTTGTATGTTTGTCTGTTTGTCTGTTTGTCTGTTTGTCTGTTTGTCTGTTTGTCTGTTTGTCTGTTTGTCTGTTTGTCTGTTTGTCTGTTTGTCTGTTTGTCTGTTTGTCTGTTTGTTTGTTTGTCTGTTTGTCTGTTTGTCTGTTTGTCTGTTTGTCTGTTTGTCTGTTTGTCTGTTTGTCTGTTTGTTTGTTTGTCTGTGTGTCTGTTTGTCTGTTTGTCTGTTTGTCTGTTTGTCTGTTTGTCTGTTTGTCTGTTTGTCTGTTTGTCTGTTTGTCTGTTTGTCTGTTTGTCTGTTTGTCTGTTTGTCTGTTTGTCTGTTTGTCTGTTTGTCTGTTTGTCTGTTTGTCTGTTTGTCTGTTTGTCTGTTTGTCTGTTTGTCTGTTTGTCTGTTTGTCTGTTTGTCTGTTTGTCTGTTTGTCTGTTTGTCTGTTTGTCTGTTTGTCTGTTTGTCTGTTTGTCTGTTTGTCTGTTTGTCTGTTTGTCTGTTTGTCTGTTTGTCTGTTTGTCTGTTTGTCTGTTTGTCTGTTTGTCTGTTTGTCTGTTTGTCTGTTTGTCTGTTTGTCTGTTTGTCTGTTTGTCTGTTTGTCTGTTTGTCTGTTTGTCTGTTTGTCCCTGCTCACAAGCTTTGCGTATGAAATCTTAAGTCCCACTTGTTCCTTTCGATGAAACTGATGGCCCGCTCATCGTTGGTACCATTTTAATGAATACAGCGCCACCAAATCCTTTTAACCTCATAAAGTATCAAACACAAACTACAAACTTAACGTACATGTTACCACTCCCCAAAAAGTTTATGACGAAATGGTCGACCAATCAACCGGATCGATCCTAAGAGCAACTAACTAGAAAATCATTAATGTGGATCGTTCATTCCGTTTCGTCTCAATTACAATAGATCAAAGACACGATTGCTTACGATAAAATCTAAACAAAATTTGCGTTCGTTTACTTTCCGAGTGTTAATTTAAAATGTTTAATATTTATTTCGGTTCGTTTGTTGAGAAGAGTTGCACATTGTGAAAATTTAAATCATTAAACCTGGTCTAACTTGCCGCTTGACTGATCATATATCATCCGATCTACCGATGGTATTTTATTAATAAAAATGTTTGAATTTTAATTAAATTTGCTCGAAAGTTCACAGAGATCTCATAGTTCTCTTATTTTTATAAATATATTTATAAATAGTGCTGTCTTACTTAATTCAACTAGTTAAAAGTACGGATATTTAATAAAATCGTGCGTAATAGATGTGTTTAAAGAATTCTGTAAAAATTTCTAGAATACAACTGCGAAGTTTTTATTTTATCTCTTTCTTTTATAGTAAAGAATAAAATCGTCATCATATTTTCAGCATGTAAGAGTGTAAGAAACAAATATGTGCTGATGTGCTTTAAACTGAGTCACATCGTCCTGCTATCTGCTATCAGCATCAGTTAATTATCTCAAGTGCTGAGGAGAGTCAGCTGATAGCCCGGCAGTGTAACCTTAAGAAGCCTGACCACTGACTCACTGAGGGTATAGGCATTAGGGTAAACAACTTTTTGGGACTAGGGTTAGGGTTACAAGGTTAGGAGCCCTGAAGTCTTTCTTAACCCTAAACGGTTCTCTAATCTCTACCCTAGTGTCTACCCTTGTCATCACGTGGTTGGGCTGATTGGAAACTGCCGATATAGAACCGTTCAATAACCGGCTACTATTCATATCAGAATACATTAAAACGGCGGTTATAATTAACCGAAGCTGAAAGTTGAAACGCAGCCAATAATATTTTAAATACAGCCAGAATTACACGACCACCGAATTATAAACCAGCGTTTCTGTACATCATATAAACAGGATTAAACAAATGCGGGATTATAGATGCCGGACGAATGAAGTGCTAACTAAATTGGGACGCAAAACCTCATTCTGAGGTCTTTATATTATAATGAACTTGGAGGTCAGGGTCATCCGAAATTAAAATGCTCCGATTATGTGTCTATAAATCAAATACAGAGGCAGGAGATTGCGACTTTGTACAGTTTTTACTTTGTATTTGGTTCCCCAAAACTGTTCAACAAAGTCTTACCTTATCGGACCTTATTTGGACGGACATTACTTGAACGGACATAATTATGAACGGACATTAATATGAACGCTAGAAGGCAATCAAAACCATCAAAAATCCGAATTTTTTTCATCTTTTTTTAAACGTTTTTTTAATTTTAGCAAATGATTTTTAAATCCATTTTTCATACAGTAAGCAAAAAAAGCAGTCTTTAATCAGTAAACGTGTTAAAATATGTGTACATGATTGATTATATGTATTGTCTAATATCACATATCATCTTCATCAAATGGGTTTTCGTGCATTAAATATTCCATGCTTAAAGCATCAGTAATACTACCTCGGTCCTGCATTTCAGTGCAAACTTTTACACAAGTAGGTTAACCTTAACGTGGAGCTTTCCCAGCACTTATCTGTTTCATTACCTCCCCTGAGTACTATGAACTATAACAACGTCGGACAATGTCCTTGGCAACACGATTTACCGTAATATCTAGAGGCTGAAATGTGAAACAAGTTAGTCATGTTGGCGGGGACTAGCTTATGAACTATGTTGTTGAGTGCCATAATTTCGTTGACTTTTTCTGTCAAGTGACCCTTGAAAACATCATATACTAGAAAAGTTTTCTGTGCCTCCGGCAGACCAATTGGCGAACCTTTCCGGCGGAATGAACTAAACACTTACTTACAAGTATCACAAAACATGTTACTGAGGTCTAGGAATTCGTCGTATCTTGAACTTGGAAGATGTGGTCAGCATAGATTATAAATCGTTTGATGAAGACTATAAAAATATATGCGAATTCTATGAATTTATAAAGTTTTCAGTTGGTATCCCTAAACTGAATCACACGTACGACAACGTAAAATGATTGAAACCTACTCAAGTGGGGACATGATCATCATAACTCATAAGAATAGGGGGCGGGTTACAAAGACTAACAATATGACTCAAAAGACACCTACAC